ATAACCAAACATCAGTTCAAACATCTTCAAGAAAAGTTGGATACTTTAATTGAATCATCCAAATCCTCTTCCAGCTTAGAATACTCTATTGAAACTCACAAGGCTTTGATTGAGTCTTTAACAAAAGAGCATGCCGTGAACCTTGCAAAATCCAACAAAGCTGTTGAGGATTCATAGAAAACCTACAAGGAAACGACCGAAAAAGTCGTGAAACTACTCTCTGATGTTACCAGTTTCATGGGTGATTTCAAAACCGCTTTTGAGTCAAACACTGCAGCTGTGAACAAAGGAATCACTGGCCTCATTTCTACACTCCAAATAGAGAAAACAGCTCTTACGAAGGTTCGTACTGAAATCCACGCTGACAATACAGAGTTCCAATCTTCCATCTCCTCCAAAATCGACAAGCTTCAGGAAGATCTGGCTATCGAGAACAAGCTCATGGATGAACTTGCGGTCGAAACTGAAAAGATGAAGGTTCTGAATGTCAAGCTTTCTTACACGAATAAGCAGATTGATGAGCTCATATCCGAAAAAGCTGTAATCAAAAGTTGTGTTGCTGATGTCAATACTGACTTGCATAATCTTATTGAGACTCGTGATTCTCTTCTCACAGTTTCTGTTCGTCAGCATCTTGCAGAGAAATTGAAGCCCATATTCTCCATGCTTGACAGAATTCAGGGTGTTTCAGAATCTTCTATTCAAAAACAAGGGGGAGAACTTGCAAGAACTTCTGGTGTTGGGAAAACAACTGGTGGTGGTGATGAACATGAACAAAAGCCAAAGTCAAATGATCCGAAGGGAAATGAAGCTTCAGGATCAAAATCAAGAGGAAAAGAAAAGGTGATAGATGATGATGATGATGATGAGGAAGAGGAGGAAAATGCAAAGCTTAATCGTAAATCTCGTGATGCTGAACTTGATGAAAATCTGCGAGTTGCTAGGGAGGTTGAAGAGCGAGAGAAGGCAATTCGTGAAGCTGAGGAAACTTTGCAGTCTCAGAAAACTCTTTTCCCTTTATGGCCATTGGAACGCATTCTGAATGAAGCCATTGATAAACCAAACGTTTATTGGCTAGAACCTGTTGGAATGTTTGATTTGGAGAACTCTCCTGATTCGCAACTTGATCTGCCAATTACTCCAAAGGCCTTTCAGTTTTGTTGTTTTGACAAGATTGCGGATGTTTCTCTCTCTGATAATGGTGCTGATCAAATGCTATTTTCATTCTATCTCAAGCACATGAAGCCACAACACGAAACATGGAGGTCAAAGAAAATAAGTGATGTGAAGGTTTTTGGCCCCATTGAAACCGAAAGCTTTCTGAACGCTCGTTTCAAGGTTACACGAGGAGCTGCGAGTACAGTGTTTGAATTTACACTCGCTGATTTTCCGTGTATGAATCCATTTGATTGGATTTCACTGTTGCTTCTCTTGCTAAAGGATGAAAATAAATTCGAACCTATTATTGCACATCTTAAAAGGATGTTGGTTTGTTACATTCAAGAAGTTGGGAAGATGAATGTGGAAATAGCGACTGTCCTTCGCAAGAAACCTACGGTACTGTTGGGTTTTATGTACTATAACACTCCTATGGTGCACATACAACCCTAAATGCTTTGGATCTAAGTTTTCTCTAGTTATACATGCAATAAAATTTCCAAAGCTTGAAACCTACAACTAGCATACAATTTGACATATGAATCATAAAAGTAAGTTAGAAGATTACCTCTTAGTTGTAGCTTGTAGGAATTGGTCTTTCAACAGCCTAGCACCTTAAGTGTGATGCCTCAAATGTCTTATCAAAAACCAAGAACAAGAGGAGGAACTTGAGAGAGAGGTTTGGAGATACAAAAAATCGTCTAGAGCTTCTTGGAATCACTAGTGCACGATTTTTGGCTTAGGGGTTACATTTATATAATGTAGAATCCAAGAGTTAAACCCTAATCCACTTCCTTGGGCCTTAATCCAATAATCCATATGATAAGCCCTTTGGACTAACTCTTCATGGAGTCTTACATGAACTTAGTCCATTACTAATCAATATGGATCATTAGCCTAAACTATATATATATATATATATATATATATATATATATATATATATATATATATATATATATATCACTGATTTACACAATCAGTCCCCGTTAATTTAATTAGTCTCTTTTGATCACTAAATTAATTCCAAATTAATTCTTGATCAATACTAATTAAATAATATGATTTCTCAATTAATATATTATACTTATAATATATTAATAAAGCACATTAACCTTTTTCTCAAATATCCATCCTATCAAATTGTTCCAGAGTGTTACAACCCAAATGGATCATTCTTGTATCGGGTCAAGTACATACCAATTATACTTATGGGCTTAGATACCTAATCCAACAGTCTCCCACTTGGATAAGTCTAATAACTATGATTGCAAGTACGACTTCAAAATTCGATTAGCAATTGTAGCTCTCAAAAGACCGTTGTCGAACTCTGATCTTATTAGTAACGCGTCCATTAGATAAGCGATCATATATTCCTCCATTCTAGATATCATATGAACTGAGACATGGATTATAATCATTCTCTCTATTCATGTGTTGTTTCCCTATTTCCGATTTATGACGACCGACTAATTGAACAAATCAAATCAGTCCAGGCTTGGCCAAGCGCTTAAGGTTGTCATCACTAAATCTTCGAGGGGCCCACATATTTCGCTTTTATCCCACATTAGGTAAAAGGAACGGATAAACTTTGACTCATATGCTTGCTCTATCTACTCATCAAGTCACACACAATGATACGTTTTATAACACCGAGTTACCGGTGCGTTTACATATCATCAATGTGCAACCGACTTGTAAACTGCAACTCATATGTCTTGGTTTCAAAAATATAAGATATTATCGTCTCATGATAACTCGTGATAAAATCCATGAAGTGATTCAAATGAGCGTGGGTTTAGTCCAATACTCAAATCTTATTACAGGAGTACTCATGAATACTTCAACAAGCTTGTGCTATGTCTAAACACCTTTAGACAATCTACAGACCCATTCATGATAGTCTCGCTTCAATACCTACTTCCAAAGTGTGATCGACTGTGGATAGTTTAAATAACCTAGTTATTCGGGAAGTCAAAACATGCAAAGTGAAACACAGGAATAATCGAATCCAATATCGTCTCAAAACTTTTGAATATAAATAAAACACCTTTTATTTAATCACCATATTGATTACACATGATTCATTGTATAATGTTTCGATTTATCAAATTTATACTTGAATTAAAACAATAGTTATCCCATGCTCCAAGCATGCACACTATGTTTACCTATGGTTCTTTCTTTGTGAAATAGATCAATTGAATACATCTTCAATGAAACTCATTTCACAACTCCAAATCTTTATCACAAGTGTAAGAATACCAAATACTTGCCACTATTAGAATGTGTTAGGTTCTAACGTTTATGCAATGATCCTTTTGTAATGTCAATGCACCAAAGCCACATAGACTTGGGCAATGAAATTACAAAGTATTCCACTGGAGATTGATAACAAACAATTCCATGGAAGCGAAGTCTCAAATTCAAAGTACATTCCTTTGAACATCCCTTTTCCATAAAAGTTTCCAACCTACACATAGATTCTTAATATCCAACTCCCATTATGGAAGCATTTCCATATTTTCCATATGACAACTCATTATTAATAGAATCTTGTCTATTCATAATAATGTCAATATGGTCCATCCATTACAATACTTCCAATTGCCCACAAGCAACCAATCTTTGGCGAACCTTAGATTGTTCTTAGCAATTGTTTAGCAACTTTAGTCATATCCGGTTCTGGTCCTTTCTCCTTCTTAATGCCCTAGGCATTTGGAAAATTCAGAACACATAAATATTATAGCATATGCAATCGATCCTATACTCGAAGCATATGAGATACGATTCATACTGTCTTACATAAAGACATGATACTTTACCATTCTCTTGCTATAATATTTCTATATATAGAATTTCCTTATGTTGAACTATTCCAACATAACATTCATATATATCTTTGACTAAATTTGATTAAAATCTCATAATCTAAGCTTTTAGATTTGAAATGAAGTATGAGTTCATCTCCCTTAATTATAGCAAAACAACTTTTCAAACCTTGCAACTTTGCAAATTGAAACTTTTGTTTTCTATAATTAACATTGCTAACTCACAACACTTAACGTAATAATTGTGCTCCTACTAGCATAGTAATTACATTCTTATTAGCATAACACTTATGCTCCCACACTACTAGAAAAACAACCTTTTACGACGCGCAATGCGTGTCGTAAAACGCTTAGACGACGCGCAAATGCATGTCAAGGAAGGCCCTGTCATAACGAGAGACGACACGCTTTTGCACGTCGTCTATTTACGATGCGCATTTACGACGCGCATTTACGACACACATTTACGACGCTCATTTACGACACGCAATGCGTATCAAGGAAGTCCCTGTCATAAAGGAAGACGACACGCATTTGCGTGTCGTAACCTTACGACACGCATTTACGACTCGCATTGCGTATCATTAAAGCCCCTGTCAAGAAAGGCCATGTCATAAATGAAGATGACACACATTTTTGCGTATCGTAATTTTAAATGTTTAAAAAATATATTATTTATAGATTTACTAATTTTCAAATTAAATTTGTATTTAATGTGTCATAATAGAAAACAAAATATCATATACAAAAAATACAATCCGTTGCATAAAATTTAATGTCATACAAATAATCGTTCTATCGAAAGATAAAACAAATCAATAGAAGTTGTAACAAAAATTTACAAACTAATTAGATACAAGAAATATGAAAAACTTGAAATCCCTAAGATTAATAGTTCTAACAAAAGCTTCACGTGAGATACATACAGTTGGACCAGTAAGCAAGGATGTTCCCGAATCGACAATAGCAGCACAAGAACACGTACACGATATCTTCTGCTAGAATTCACAACTATATTTTCAGCCTTGCTCCTTCTTCTTCTTCTGAACTCATCTCTTGCAGCAATTGCTCTAAGCCTAGTCTGAATAGATATAGCAGCTCCTTGTAAATGCTTGTATGATGTTCTTCCTGCACCTCCTTAAATACTTTTAAAGGACATGAAAAAGTTAACTGCCAAGGGCAGGAGATTCTCTCTTCTGGTGGACATAATAATGTAAATAGTTAATAGTAAATACCATTTCAAGATCATTGTCCATATCTGCCTTGTCAAGGATCAACCACAAAAGATCAAATCTTGATAGAAGTGTTGGAGGTAGGTTTATGTTTTCAGCCGGAGTTCTGCATAGATCATATCTCCCCCTGAATCATTAAACAAAACATTCATATTAGTAACTAAAAAATAGTAATAATAATGTAAATAGTAAATAGCAAATACCATGCAGGATTGGCAGCAACAAGAACTACAGTTCTTGCATTGAGAGAAGTGGTGATCTCGTCCATCTTATCAAACTCATTAATCGCACATATCAGCCAACACCTACACCCATCCATTATTTATAAAGGATGCTCTATACTTGCCATCGGGAGTAAAAGTGGAAATATCTCATTTTGAGATTCACATTTTAAGGAGAATGAATCATAATATCATACCACAACAACCACAAGATTAACAGGGGATACAGCTACGCCAAAACATGCATCAGACACATTAGGGACCTCTCAAAAGATTTAAGGTCTCTAGTCAATATATTTGACTAATATTCAAACTATTTCGTTTTTTTTAATATTTTGGGACAAAAAAAGTACTAAAAATAAAGATACATCTGTGAATGTCTTAACACCAAGAATATTTGGAGGTAAAGAGACTCCATGGAGATCCAGCTATGCAAAGAATTATCCTGTAAAAAATAAGAAAAATAAAAAAGAGTTTAACAATTACAAATTTACATATCATATTTTATAGTTTATTCATAATCCAATGAAGTACCTACCTGGCTACAACTGTACAAGCAATGTCCATCATAAGCCCAAGTCAGATTATTCGCAATGGTGACCTATCTTGGTTTTTGTATATTTATTAAAAAAAACAAATGAAAAAAAAACTAGAAATATAAGTGTAAGATACGATGTTTTTTTTATTAAAGATTGTACCTTTACAAATGGAAGAATATGTTGAATTGCAAGTTGTGGGGTAAGAATACGACAAAATTTGGTGACTTTTCCAGCAGCTGCAATACGTACTTCAGCTTCATTATCACGAAGTAGCCTCACGTATGCTGGAACTAACTCACTCCTGTTATAATTTAGATGGAAAATGTTAAAAAATGAAAATAGAAAAAGAAAATAGAAAAGAAATATTTTTGGATTTGAAAATTGAACATACTTGGTGGGTTTAGGGCCCACTCCTTCACATAGTTCATACAATTGATTAGCAACTATAAAACAAACACGCAAAAACTTGTCCTGTTTTAAGGGAAAACATTCAAATTTTGTTTTCAAATAAAAAAAAAACAAAAAAACAAAAAAAATTCACTTGTTAAAAAAAATTCACTTGTTTCCAATTATGTAGCACATCCAATGACGTGTCATTGTCCTTGGCTTTTGATGTTTGGCAACCTAGGACAAACCAATATCATATACCATATCTTAGTTTTCAAATAATATATATATATATATATATATATATATATATATATATATATATATATATATATATAATAAAGGTAGGTACCTTACAAGCCTAATCATTAAATACAACATAAAATGTAAAACTCTTTTTAATGTATTAGTATCAGTATGAGTTTATTAAAACCTGAAGCCATTGGCCGTGACACCAAAAGATGGCATTTTCAAATGCTTAAATGAGTGATGATTGTTTTTGTTGCTAAGCCTCATGAACAAAATGCTCAGGTTGTCTTTTTGCAACTTATAGCATTTCTACATGTTGTACTAAAAATGTATTAAAGGTTGTACTAAAAACTGTATACGCTAAAGTGTTGGTAAATGTCAATTATTCAACCTCCAAATTAATAAGCAGAATGTTTTCTAAAGCAAAACTATAAATGGAAAATGTCATGGGTTTCAATCTTTTTTCCCAATAATTTCCTGTTGAAGAACATGGCCAAAAGGTAGAAACCTTTTAGGAATTCGTGAAACCCATAGGAATATGGCATCACATACATAAGACAAAGCACACAAAAAATAGTGTATGCTTTGTTTGTTCTAAAGAATAAACTATGTCCACAGCCATACAATCGATTTTGAATTATCATAGTAAGGGTTTTTAAATTAAAAATGATTGTATTTATAAGTGGGGAAAGGGGAAAGATCTTACCAAGAATGATAAGTAGACATCCAGCTTGTTTAGATTCAAATAAATCAATTTGATGGCATCTCTGATCTCACAATCAGTCCACTGAGAACTTTCTTGGTTTACATCTGGCAGTGTCTCAAACATCAAAGGAAACGAGTAACTCCCATCAACAAAAAATCCAATCTGCAAAATGCAAATTTAATTGAAAGTTAGCATTTTTTTGTCCCATCCAAAAAGGTAGAGAAAACATAGCCTAAACATCCAATCAACTTGCAGCCAGCCTAGTTGAAAAAGCTAGCTTTTGCCTCATAAGCTAGCTGATAAAGTAACAGCGTTCGTTAAAAAACTAACTCATAAGATAGATGGAAAATGTAAAATGATATAAAAGTACAGTTAGATATATAAGGGTAGATTTGGAAAAAGACCCATGAGCTTATCAACAAACTATAAGGGTAGATTTAGAAGCTACTTTAGTGGTCTCAACAAACACTACATTACAATTACCGCAAAAAATAAGTTAGCTTAAACGCGCCAAACACAACCTAAGTTCTCCATTGTCTACCTTTTTAAGTAGCATATGAAATGGAGGGTACTTACCTGATGTGTTGCACTGAAATGGCCAATTGCTGCTTCTAAACTTAAAAATAAGCCATTTATAGTGCCTAGTAATGCAACCAATGACTTCCCAGGCTCCTTAAGTATCCGCTCCCTCGATTTCTCAACCTCCACATAGACCTGATGAGTAATAAAAGATAAAAATATGATTCAACATTGAAATATAAAAAGGAAGGTTTCAACTCACAGGACCTGTGCTAAAAATGTAGCCAGTGAGTATCTTAAGCTAGTTAAGACACTTATCCTCTCAGAGATATGTACAGATGCTGAGGATGAAACTTGCTGCATGCCGGTACCATGGAAAACATAGTCATGCAACAACTGGGCTGAACCATCAAGAAATGCTGAAGGCCCTCTCTCAAAAACCATCAAGTATACTTTATTAGAAGTTGATCCCTGATACAATAACACTATTGGAACTGTAGGAATTTAATGCGCTCCTCTGGATTCTCTATTGAATTTATGGAATTCATATAAGTTTGCCTTGAGAAGTTCATAAACGATTAATAAATGCTCCTGAAAGTATTTATTATAAACAAGTTAATAATACAAAAAGGGAAAATCAAATTAATAAAAAAAAGTTATGAATTTGACTTACTCGGTAGTAAAAGTAATCATAAAGTATGAGAAGGTGATATTTGTCACCGGGATCATTTTTGTTGATATATTTTAGAAGCTTTATCTCATCAAGACTCTGGTTAAAAGAGTTTGTTGTTTTTTATTATTTTTCACACACACATCCATTCCAGTGTGAAGATCATGTGCTTGAATAGCTTTGTTGAATGCAGCAGAACCAAGATACTCTGTAACATGATACTTACCAGCTATCACATAATTTAAAACTACATGGAAATTCTTGTCCTCCTCAAATCCAGTTCTGAGAAAAAACAAAAATCAAGGGTAAAATGGTAATTTTAGATGCAAGAGAAGACAATAAAGATTAATAAGACAATGAGATACTCTATAACATGATACCTGTTGGGTAATCTTGATGGGTTAAGTTGTTCATGGGTACGGATTCGAATGGGTCGCTCCAGTTTCCTTATCAACAAGTTGAATAATCAGGACTTGGTCTAATGAAAGACCTGGTTTGGTGGAGCTTCAATAAACGTGGACTTAGTAGTCCTATGTTTGTGGTTTTAGCTGATAGTTCTCCTTTTTCATAGCATGTTTATTATTATAAATAGAGTAGGGTTTATCTTCTAGGGTGTAGGACGTGTATGTATGTATTTTCTGTTTTCATGAATGAGTAATACACAGAAAATTGTCCTATCTTCAGATTGCATGTTCCTTCTTTTACTGTGAGTATTAGTGCATGTTTGATCTTGTGTAGAGAATGTTCCAACAATACCTACCAGCTATCTCATGTGCATGGGTTTCTGGGACATTTTCTGTTGTTGTTTCTGTGACATCTTAAATTCTTGGATCATGTCCGGAATGATCTGATTCTGTACTTGGCCCATCCATGACCTCAACTGGAATCTACCTCAGTTCTCTTGGATGAGACCAAAATGGTTCACTACCCCTGAACCTTGGCCCACTATCAAATATACTTCTTGTGAAGTTTGGATCAAGAAGGGAGAATGGGTTCATGTTGATATCTCTAGCAGAAGGAAAGAGGGAGAGAGGAGGTCTCTGAGGTGGAAGAGTTGGATCATCTATGTCCATGAAATCCTCAGGTGGAGCAACAATGGAGGTTGCCTGTCTTCTATAACAACATAAGTGAAATATGTGTCAGAAAGTAAGATGGAAGTTGTGAACTTATTAAATGATGAAGAAAACTAACATGTTTCTATCTCCTTTTGTGAAATGTGCATTAACAGCTACATTAAGATCTCCACCATGCTCCTGATAGAAATATAGATAGAAAATATCTTAGTAAACTTTGAAATTTACAAACTTAAATCCAAGAAAACATGAAGCGAAAATACTCAAAGCAACAAATCCTCACCAAAGAAAATGCAAAATTAGACCATTTTGAGATAATCTCACTTGTTGACCTTTTTGATGCCAAACAAGTTACTTACAAACAGGTACCAACAAAAAATCGCTACCTTGACTGAACTTCATAACAAGTAATGTTCGGAGATTTGATATGAAAGAAAACCCTACCACTTTTGTGTATATAAGTACTAATTTTGAAATCAAGCCCTAGCCCTTTCTACGATAACATAGTAAATCAAAATTGCATCTGTATGGAATTAGTTTATTCGAATTAAACAAAAAATTATGGAATAGTTAAAAACTAACCCCTACATTCTATTCTAATATCAAAATCAAGCTCAAGATAACATATAAGCATGAATTAACACTGCTAATATGTACCAGAGTAAATCAAATAAACGATAACAATTAATCAAGAAGGAAGAGGAAAACAAAAACTATATGAGCAGTGATGCGATTTAGATGAAGATTTAGCGTAATTACCGTGAGTTTCTGTATAGCAACCGATTCAGATGAACCGGTGATGCTCATGAATGTCTCGATTGCTTCTTGATTAGGTGTCGCCATCGACAACAGAATTATGAAAAAAACTCATGTATAGGAAGAAGCCCTAAAATCAATGTCAAAACAGAGTGAAAAAGGAGATTTGAGGAAGAACAGCTACCTGGAAAAAAAAACACAGCAACGATCCAAAGATCTAAATGATATAAAATACAGTTTTTCAGTCCAACTGGAACTATATTTCATTTTCGTTCTTTCCTTCTATCGAACTTGGTTAGTCTATTTCTTTGTCATCTCTACCCGCTCTTGCCTAAGATAATTCGATTTGGACTGTGGTTTTTCATAGTTCTTTGTGTTGTTGGTCTCCATAGCTGACTTACTGAAGATGGTGAAGAATTTGCCCTAAATCGTCGGTATGAGAGGAAGAAACAGAGACGTATAGTGTTGACGGCACCAGATACAAAAAGGTAGTGAGTGTGGATGGAGAAAAAGGTAGATGAACAACATACCTTTGAGTAACTAGAAGAGAAGAATCGAACTTGCTTCTGCATCAATCGGAGGTAGGGCTTGTAAGGAGAATGGATTTTCGACTGGTGGAAGCAAGGGAGAGAAGAACACAAGGTGGGGTTTTTAATTTTGGGATTTCGTTTCCCCCCTTTGTTATTAATAGAGAACGCGCGTCTCCTAAAAAATTTATAAAACGACATTCTTATACGACACGCTTTTTTTTATAAGTGCCCTTTGTGTTATTATTTTTTTTCTTGTGACATACATTTTAGGGCACACAAAAATGCGCGTCCTAAATTCTTCAAATTTATAAAGATCTGACATTATTTTTAGGTCACTCCCTTTTGCGTATCATTAATCTGTGCGTGTCGTAAAAAGCGTGTCATTAAAGGTCTGTTTTCTAGTAGTGCCACTAGCTTTGACATGTATTCAGAAATCAGCTGGACTTCTAGAAATCAATACTTATTGACTTTCTTTCCAAAGTTCAGATTTCTGATACGAGATGCTTCGATAAGACTTCATCTAGGCTTCTCAAACTCATACACCTTTCCTTAGATAGGTCACATGTGTGTCTAAACAATGTCAGAACTTACATCAATAAGTCTCAAATGTTTAGACCTTTTGCCATTTCTCACAATTCGAACTATGAAGAGGGATTCCGTAATCATAATCGAATTTGAGAATGCAAATATCATAACTGCTATCTCCGTAAAATCTACTTAGTGAAAATGTTTCCTCACAATCATTTTCATGAAGCGGAGAGAAACCTTATGACACTTAGATTTTATGGTGTATGTGTTTCTATCCATGTGAATATGTCATTATCATAAGAGAAGGTCTATGGCATATTCAAACTCATATGGATTGAACTTGTTCAACCTTAATTTCTTGCCACTTGGTAGCACAAGGGCCTACCATGCTTCCAGGTTGTTATGCAAACAATTGAGAACTCATATAACTCACATGCGTAGTCAACTTAACTGGAATAGGCACAGAAACAAGAATACGTCAACACGATAGGTTACAAACCTCAAGTCGTGAGCTAGCGATAAACAATAGGTTTTATTCTTGATTAGTTCTTGAAACTATTCAAGATCTTTAAGACTCCCACTGTCTTCTTGACATATATGATTCTCTTTGTCAAGAAACATTACTTAACAAACAAATATTCAAGAGTTAGTGCCGGTTCTTATCAAGAAAAACACTTCACACAATTGGTCTTAGTTGATCTTTGTTTTATCCAAAACATCACAACTAACAATTTGAATGTGTTAGAACCTACTTAAGGTATGTCACTCAAGTTACAATCTTGGAGTATGACTCTAAGACTCGATTTTGGAACGAAATATGACTCACCTTAATTGATTTAACCATTTCAACAATTCCCGATTCCTCTTCGTAGCCATACAAGTGCACTAAGGTGTCCTTAGAGGATCAATTGTGATATGGTTTTCATAATCATTTAGGATGATCATAAAACACGATACTAAAGTACTCTCCTTTCCTTTCAGATTGGAGAAACTTTTATCTTTCTGCCTAATTTGATTATTCTTATTCGTTCTGCCATACATTGAAAATTTTTCAATGATTTAGAATTATACTTAATCTTGTAAGTATAACCATATTTACTAACTTTGGTAAATCATGACGAATAGTCTTATTGTTCTTTGTGGTGGACCTGACCAGTGCACAACCAAGTGTACCCGATCCCCTAGTCCTTCACTTGACTCACATATACATTTGAACAAGGAATTAGTCTTAATTTCCCAAAGATGAAGGTTCTTATTCATCACATAATACAAGTTGCATGATTTCAAGTTTCTGTCCAATTGAAACTTGGTTGATGAGAATCTTTCCTTATTTGGTAAATTATGACACTACCACAAACGAAAGAATCAAATATATTTTCTAATATTGCTAACAATAGAAATATACAAACATCAATTTTCACAAAGCCATTGCAAGGATAAATATAAAAATCAAAATTTTATTTATTTATAAAATGCGGAAAAAAAACTTTTCCTTACAATGCAATTACAAATGAAAACTATGTTCCAAAATGTTTCTAAGCAATCTATGATAACTCTTAAGCAGAAACTCAAAATTCTGATCATCGAATCATGCGATCGAAATGCATTTCTTCGCGATCAGACTCAGCCTGCTCTTTCTTTAAGCTTCCTTTCTCTTCTTCGATCCTAAAAAACAACAAAATGTAATCTTATCATATCATGTATTAAGAATCTCCAAATAGGAACTTAATAGAGTTAGATAGTGGACTTACCTGAAGCAGAGTCAAACATTTTGACTTTACCATCCTTGTGGTCCTTCAGGTAGCTACGACAGCTTCACAACCAATGCCCCTTCTCTTGGCAATAGAAGCAAACAGACTCTTTCAGAATGGTACATGGGACAATCTCAGACTTAGCCTTTCCCTTTCCCTTGGAAATAGAAGTCTTTTTCTGGACTTCCAATGTTTCCATTGTTATTGTCCATGGAAGTTTAGGAAGTAGATCTTCCAATCAAATTTGCTTTACCAGTGCACCAAATCATTGCTGATTCAGCAGCACTTAGCAAATAGGTAAGATCGATAAGGGACATGGCACGGTCTGTCATACAGTAATCTTTAATGAAATCACAATATGACTTAGGAAGTGATTGAAGAACCAAGTCGACAACCAACTTCCTTGACACAACGACTCCTAACATTCCCAGCCTGTCAATGTGTGACTTCAACTCCAAGACATGTGCACACACAGACCTTCCATCTTCATGTTTGCTTGCCAATAGGGCTTGAGTGACCTTGAACTTTTCAAGTCGACGAACATGTGGGTTAGGGAGAACTATTGAAGGAGATGGAGGAAGTGTGACAACCCGAAATTTCTATTCTGTACAACATGTCAATTCAATAGAAGTCAAATCAGTTACAGTTAAATTTTCAGACTTTTGGATTAAGTTTGATTATTTTAGGATTTACACTTTAGGAGATACCAGGAGAGAGGATGCCCTAGGTTTATAGTGCAACACTGTTATTCCTAAACTTCAAGAAATTGGAGTTTACTGCCGGAATAAAATAGTTTCAGCCAAAAACCCAGAAATTTGGAGTATATATATGACACTTGTCATTTTTCCAAATTTCTCAAGAACAAAAGCAAATCCTCTCAAGTATCATCCCGGGATTTATTCCAGATCCCGATCTAGTAAGTGTTTTCAACCATTTCAAGTTAGTAGATCACTTAATCTAGTGTTTTAACACCTTTCTAACCGTGAAATCATTCCAAAAGGTTGATTCTTCCATTTTCACCAAGAACACCAAGAACACACACTAGTGTTCTTGGCATTTTGGCTCATTTCAAGCTTCCATATAGTAAGTAATTTTATCCTAGAGTGTGTTTAAGCTTGCTATACTTCATTATAACATAAAAACATCCAAGAAACATCAAGAAAATGGTGTTTACGGTCCAAGAACATTCTTGAACCGTAAACCCATTTTAAGGGACCAAAATGTCCCTAGTCCCTTCCTAAGCCTAGGTAACTAACTTGGATCCTTACCTTGATGTGTTAAGGACTTGAAATCATTACCAACATCCATAAGGGTTTATGACCGTAAACCCAAAGGGATGTGGTCTTTGGGACGTAAACTCCAAATAGGAGTGGAATGGTGCCCTAGCTTCTTCCTTAGGCTTATACTTCAAGTGGAAACACTTCAATGGACTTAGAACCCTTAAAATCAACAAATGGTCAAAAGAGGGGGAGTTTACGGCCGTAAACTCTAGGGTTTACGACCGTAAACCCATTGGGTTGAGGTCACAAAACCTTAAACTCAAGTTAGGGTTTCTTTTGAACCCTAAACCCTATAGCATTGTTCTACAACACTTAGATGCATTCCTTGAGACTTATAACACTTATATAAGGTGTTTAACTTGTCTTAGGATGTCTTAACTTTGCTAATTAGTTGTTTAAAGGCTAATTAGATACATATATATGTTGTATTTATATGTTAAATAGGATCATTGTGTGTGTACAAGTCTTCACTTGACACCTAGCAATCCTATTTCTTCAGTTCATCCAAACCACCAACTACAGGTGAGTTCATACCCCTTAATTAACCTTTTAAATGTTTTTAAATGCTTTTATGGGGGGAATACAAGTTGAACAATTATAGTTATTATATCAATCACATGTGATTAATAACTACCAAACAAATGGTTTTCTTACTTTTCAAACTGTTTATCAAACTGTTTTACCTCAAACTACTTTACAAACTCTTTTACTTATCAAATAGTTTTACTTAAACTCTTTTAAACTTATATTCTGTGTATCTATATAGATATAGTTATATAAGTAGGATTGAAAGGACTTAGGACTGCTAGTCTACCCTGCTTCCTGTTCTTGTTTGATTGTGGTCTTAGGGTATCAAGGTTAGTTGTCCGAGGGTCGTTTGAATCCTAGTTATATATTATGTATATGTATATAGATATAAAAGGTTTTCCTTCATTCAAGTCCATGCCCTTGGGTAGCAAGGGTATACAAACATGTTCATACATTGCTAGTAAGCTACC